CGGGGGGGGCGCCGCCCCCCCCCGCCGCCCCCCCGCCACACCCACAGCCGGGCACAGCACTCAGCGTGTGGTTCGCCTTCCTGTTCAGGAGCTACATGTCCTCCAAGTGGTCGCCATCAGCTACGAGTATCCACAGTGGCCGCGCTGCAAATGCTCGTCAGCCCATGGGGCTCCCGCTGCCATCGTGCACATGTGAGGTGGCAGGGCACAGGCTGGCCAGGCAGGGCCACCCAACAAGCATCCTCCTCCCCAGGAGGCAGGGCTCCAAGAGCCAGAGAAGCTCCGTGCCGTGGCCCTGGGGTCTGTGGGACAGACTAGAGCAGGGCCTACAGGTGCTTGCAGTGACCCCTGAGCCCAGCGCAGTGAGAGCAGCTTCCCCGAAGTCCAGTGCCAACAGCCCACGCACACGCATGCACACGCAGCACAGGAATTCCAGGGATGTGTGTGGAAAGCCACGTGGCTGCGAGGCTCTGCACACAGGCCCGAGGGGGCTGGACCCCGCCCTGTCCTGCCCAGCCTGACAGGGCAGTGGGTGAGCAAACACGCAGGGTGGGGGAGACCTCCTGTCCTAGGCTGACACCCAGGGCCAGCTGCTCGCTGCACAGAACCACACGCGTCCTCACACTTACTGCCTTCCACGTGTCGTGGTGGTCACCCAGCGTTTACCAAGAGCCTGCTCCAGCAGGCATGCGAACCCCAAGGCTGCCACGGCACTAACGCAGCCACAGGCTGGGACGCAGGCAGGGATGGGTGCGATGCTGGGTCACTGGGCCCCGATGCGCTACGGGCGTGCAGAGCATGTCACACATGTGACTGGCGTGTCTGCCAACCCATGCAGGGCAGGAAGAGACCTCTGTCCACCACGTGTGGGAGCGTACACCAGCTCACGCACATTCCCCGTGTGCACCGACCCAGCTGGCGCTGCACGCCCACTGCCGCGGCTGGCCCAGCCCACCGGTACTCATGCTCGGCTTCTTGGGCCTGCCCCGCCTCCCTCCCGGGCTGACTCAGAGCCAGCAATGGGTACCTGCTTCTGCAGCCCGCCCACAACCCCACACGGCTTAGCTGACCAGGGCAGGCTACACGCCCCATGGGTGGGACCAGCAGCCCCCGGAGTCCCCAGGAACAGGGAGACTGGACCCTCCATGTCAGGGCACGGTGTGCGGCCAGCAGGGGGCTGGGGACCGGGACTGTCCTCAGGGACAGGACGGGGGTGTAGGACAGCCGGGCAGTGGCGCGGTCTCTGCGTGGAGTGTGAGCACCCGTGTCCCCGCAGGCACCCTCTCTTCCCGCTGCTGACGCTGCTGTTCGAGAAGTGCGAGCAGGCGACCCAGGGCTCTGAGTGCATCACCTCGGCCAGCTTCGACGTGGACATCGAGCAGTTTGTGCACCAGCAGGAGCAGGAACACAAGCCCTTCTTCAGCGATGACCCGGAGCTGGACAACCTGGTGAGGACTGCCCCGGCCCTGCGAGTGCCCTAGAGACCACCCTTCCGTTCACCAGTTCCGAGGCCGGCTGGGGCAGCCTGCACGTGTCAGCTCGGCAGCTGAGCGCACCCCACACCCTGCAGTCCAGAGACATGCGCTCGGGCTGCCGTGGAGGCCCAGGCTCCACTGCCCACCCTTTCATGGTAAGGTGGGAGGGAAGGGGGTCAGAGCTGGTGTGTCTGGGGCCATCTCAGGCCCGGAGTCCTGGCGTGTTGGCAGACCTGCCTCAAATCCCCATAGAGGAGCTGACCCAGCCATGATGTGTGTAGGTGAGGGAGATAGGTAGACTCGCGTGCATCAGGGGGAGAGCGGCCTCCAGTGCCGTCTGCCTGGAGCCCTGCAGGAGCAGGCCACATGGTCGACCAGAAGGCCATGCAGGCTGCAGGCACCCTCTGGGGTCTCTTGGACAGCCATGGTTGCCGGCTTGGTGTGGGGCCCCCAAGAAGACGGCATCCATAATTCCTGTCTAGCTTGGGCACTGGGAAGAGAGGCAGGAGGCTGCTCTGCTGGACTGCGGTGTCAATGGCTGTCCTGGGATTACTGCCCGCAGTCCCTGGTGTGCCATGGCGGCTGCCCAGAGTGGGTCTGGGGAATGGAAATCGCAGGGCTTGCCCCTAACCAGGCCTTGTCCTGGAGAAATGGGGACAGAACTGGGAAGGCAGAGGAGCCTCCACAGAGTGAGGAGGGAAGAGCATGCATGCAGGCACACAGACACGCACAGGTACAAACACATACAGACACAGTCATGCACATACACAGACACACACAGTCATGCACACACACAGACACACAGTCATGCACACACACACACAGCCATGCACACACAGAGTCATGCACACACAGTCATGCACACACAGAGACACACAGCCATGCACACACACAGACACACAGTCATGCATACACACACAGCCATGCACACACGGACACACACAGACACGCACAGGTACAAAGACATACAGACACACGCAGCCATGCACACACGCAGACACACAGTCATGCACACACACAGACACACAGTCATGCACACACACAGACACACACAGCCATGCTCACACACAGACACACAGTCATGCACACACACAGACACACACAGTCATGCACACACACAGACACACTGTCATGCTCACACACAGACACACAGTCATGCACACAGAGACACACAGTCATGCACACACAGAGACACACAGTCATGCACACACACAGATACACAGCCATGCACACACACAGACACACAGTCATGCACACACACAGACACACACAGTCATGCACACACACAGACACACACAGCCACACAGTCATGCACACACACAGACACATCGTCATGCACACACACAGACACACACAGCCATGCACACACACAGACACACTGTCATGCTCACACACAGACACACAGTCATGCACACAGAGACACACAGTCATGCACACACA